AAAAAAAAAAAAAAAAAAAAAAAAGAGAACCCGCATGCATGGTAGCATGAGACAGGTATACTTATCTATATTTATAGGTGATGGAAGAGTAAACCAGAAAATACAGAAAGAGCTAACTACCCTAAACTAAAACACCCAAATGCTAACTTTAACATTACTAATTATTTATGTAAAACTTAAAACTAATTATATATATATATATATATAATTAAAAAATTTATTTCTTATAAAATACTATAATATAAGTACTTTATGAGACACTCTTTACCTTGTATACCATATCACATATTATAATATAAAACTAAATTATTTCGTATAAATAAAAAAAACTCAAACTCTATATAGATAGAAAGAATCACATTTTAACATAAATTAGACTTAGCAGAAATAACAATTACAATAGAAAAAAAAAATTAAACTACTCAAAGTAACTAGAAAAAATCAAATCTTAATTAGTCCTAACTAATTTTTCGGTGTCACGTGTCATATTAGAACATAAACCAACATTGAGGATTAAGCCTCATCATCGGCATCCTCAACACCATGTTAATGATTACCTACAAAAATCACAAGAAGACAACACAAAAGAAAATGGAGTGAAAAATATTTCACTCTGGCTTACTAGGCATGAATGCAAAATGACTAGGCAAACACAAACAACACATACAACATGATATAGCATACACTACCACACATCATCAACATCATACTTATTTCATCCACAATAGAATAAACAACAACAAATATAATTTTAATGCATATACAATAGACATAGACTACAAGTTATCATACATGTGGCGCCAGTAAAAACTTTATACTTGTGCATAGTTGTCAACAATACACTAAAGTAGTCTAGGAATACATGTCAGGTCACACCTTCTAAGCACTCTCATTATAAGGACATATTATCAGGGTCTAGTCAGGATAGCTAAACTGCATAAGATACATCGAATGCTCACGAAGGCAGGACTGAGACTTCTAAATCGAGATATCCCCAAAGTTAGTTCCTAAGCTTTTACACAAGGGACCTTTCCTGACGATGTATTCCATATCACACCCTTTAAAAAAATCATCTTTATTCCCATGATTCATGCCAATCAAACTCAATGCATTACATTATCATGATTTCATAACTTTATAGCTCATACATTTCTCATATCACATTACTTATATTCATTCATATTCAGGTACTCATATATAGATATCCTTCCACATTCACATCAACATCATAATATAGTAACTACATGAAATTTAATAGAAGAACAATAGAAGGTTTGTAGGCAGGACGAATATAATATGTTGTAAAATATATTACATAATTAAAACAAATATTTAAAGCTCCTATTAATAAAATAAAATATCAAAGTTATTAATAAAATATTTATATTATATTTTATAAAACATGGAGTGTTACACCTTATGAGTTTTCTTTATTAAATGATTAATTTAATTACTACAAATAAATATTTGCAAGTTAAAATAAATAATTTAAACATATATCAAAATTAATTTGTTGTATAATTTTTAATTAAGAAGGTAAGGTGTTTCAAATAATTTCTTTCTAGAATTAATCTTGTACTTATGTTATGATATTTTTCTTTAAAGATAAAAAATATTAAAAATAATAGTCGCAATGAAAATTGAATCTAAATCCTCGTAACACTCTACAAAAGTTAGATTTGGAATACAACCATTCTCTTAAATCCTTTTGAAACTTATACATGACGATTTTTTTTTTCACAAACGCATAGAATCTATCTCCCTATGTAGAGTAAGGTTGAAATAAGGCAAAAAAAATTAATGACTTACAATTTTAACTATTTGAGTCAAAACAAAATAAATATATATAATTTATCATATATATATATATATATATATATATATATAAAGGAAAATGTTTCTTAAAATAATAAGTTAAGCAAGTATATTTTATGTCTGAAGATAGTTGTAGTGAAAATAAGCAGTGGATGAAATTTTTCAGTATGATATATCAGCTAAACAAAATTGCGTTTGAGAGATAGATAAAAAGTGCAAAGAGTTTTATACTGGTTCACTTGACCTAAGCTACGTCTAGTCTTCTTCAACCAAAGGGTTCCACTAATCATAACGGCTTACAAGTATTATCAACCACTTCTGGTTTGCCAACTTCACTCGTTAGCGCTAGTATTCTTAAACCACTTCTAGTTTCCTAAGTATTATCAACCACTCCTGGTTCGCCAACTTCACTCGTCAGCACTAGTATTCTTAAACCACTTTTGGTTCTCCAAGTATTCTTTTTATCTAGCCTTTTTAGGCTTTATAGTAGATAGATGTTTTGAGTGTGTGTATAACTCTCATAGAGAGGATAGGATGGTTTCTACACTCACTAAGGTATTCAACCTTAGTTTTACAGAAATATGTGTTTTGAGTGTTGTATTACTCTCACAGAGAGGATAAGATGGTTTCTACACTCGCTAAGATAAGCTATCTTACATTTACACAAATATACTAGACTGTATAGGAAGAGATGTAAGTTCTCTTTTACTTATTGCTCGTTTCTTCTCTTCTTTTTTCTTCTGGTTCTTCTCTTGTTAGGTCTTGATATTTATAGCCTCGTGGTAAGTCTGCCCGTTGTTTAAATTTGAAAGTGTCTGTTGGAGAGGAGCTTCCTGTTGGCGTAGATAGTAGTTTGTTCATGGCCATATAGACCTTTTATTCAATGCATTTGATAATGCGTTAGATGTTTTCTTACTAAATCTGTGTTACGTGAAGTCTTTTGTGTAGTTCGTTCACTTCTATTTCTGACTTCAATCATAACCTAGGTATTTCTATTCTCTTTTCGTCATTGTAGTTGTAGAGGCGTTGTCTTTTTCTGAAAAATAGGTGTATTTTCTCTAACACACGCATGCTTTGACTTGTGGATACGCGCTTATCTATCTTTCTTCTTTCTTCTCACAAATTTGATGACTTCGTGTGCTCTTCTATGAGTGTAGACGATATTTGATATCTCTTGTTGTGAATAGTGGACTTTAGACGCTTTTTTGTATTCTTCGTCTGCATCTGGTAATGCATCTCAAATTTGAGTCTTTGTTTGAGAAGTAGACTTTGACTTTCCTTCCATCTGGTCAATTATGAAGATGGAAGACTTTAATTTTGTCTGGAATGTTTCTTTGTCTTGTGTTATCCATCGTCTGATACTTTGTTGACCTATACAAAATTATATATGTTCTAGAGGCTGGATTATCACCCTCTTATCTGTAGAGTGTTAAAGTGACAATCAGAGACCTAGATTAGCTTGAACAGGTTATATTTAGAGCCGACTATAAAATTACAGTACTGGCACTTTATTCAGCTCTTCTAATTCTTTGGCTGGCTTTGGTTATTATATCTTCTTGTACTTTCCTGTTGAGATAATGATCTGATGTTAATTAGTAAATATTCAGCTGGAGCAACAGAAACATCAGTTTTGGAACGGACCGTTCTGATTCCAGAACGGCCCGTTCTGAACCCAGAACGTGCCGTTCTAATTCCAGAACGGACCGTTCTGCTCCACTCTTGGTGTGTTAATTTTGCATCTGGAACGGCCCGTTTCAGATGCAAAATTAACATACCAAAAAGGCATCCAGAACGGTCCGTTCTGGTTTCAGAACGGGCCGTTCTGGTTCCAGGTGTTTTCAACACAATTGGCATCCACGTGTCATCCACGTGACATCCACCTATGCATCCACGTAGCCAATAGTTAACACCGTTAAAGAAATTTGAACGGAAGTCCTACATTGAAACCAATTAATTTATTAGGGACTAAATTGAAACCAATTAATTAGTTTGGGACCAAATTGAGACAAAAAATTAATGAAGGACTAAATTGAAATAAAAAAGATTATAAAAGACCAAAATAGGTATTTAGCCTTATTTTTTATAACACAAGGGAGTACTATTTTATGAGTTAAGCTAGGTTGAAAGAAAAACAAACGACCCCATGAAGTTATTGACCCGCATGTAATGCAAACCATTTTGGGACAATTGTTAGTAGATTAGTTCATTAGTCCATTTAACTAATAGAATATATACATATTAAAAATTAAGAAAAAATCTAAGAAAAACATCAAAAAATAAAATTTAACTAAAAAAAATAAATATTGTTTTAAAAATTTCTAGTTATTTAACTCAATTTAAATATATTAAGTCCAAGATAACCTACATTTAAATTATAACTTTTATTATTGTTTAACTTGATACAACTAGATATCGATCCAATCTATCTTACACATTCACAATCATAGACAGATAAACAATCTATCTTAACACACACATGGACTTATAGGTACACACATATATACATAAAAATTAAATTAATAAAATGAAGTATTAAATAATTTTAAATTTTTTTTACAAATTTATAAACTTGATTCATATATTAAAAAAATTTAATTTAAAAATTAGATCGTTAAAATTTAATATATATATATATATATATAAAGATTAATTATATTATATATATATATATATATATATATAACTTTTAGAATGAAATTAATGGAATTTTATTTTGGACTATAGGATAATATGTTGCATGATATAAATTATCGAATTACATCGGTCTGTTGAATTTTCAAAACTAATTCAAATTAAATTGGTTTATTTTGGGTTTAATTATTAGGTTAAATTGTTTCCAACTTGATTAAAGTTTACATGGATAGTTTAATTCAAGAATCGAAGACATTTCAACCTAAAACATTGTGAGTTTTTTTAGTATCTGACCAACAATTTTTTTCAATTTCACGGGTCTTTCTCTTGTCTCTCACACATTTTTGAATGAGCATGATTTCAGACTTTCCTTCAAAACTTCAAACACTGCATCTTCAAATTCACATTATAAGTTATCTCACCCTTCACCCCAGTTAATAATTGTTTATTTGTCTATTCACTGTGGTTGTCATCCACACACACAAGTCACATAATCTATCATCCGGTATAGTGTTACTGCTACGTAATTCGTTGTCCACCCAATCTAAGCTTTGTTATTTACATATATAAGGAAAACAAATGGTTGGTCAATGAATTTGTGGTGAGATGACCTTTCTTACTTCTTTTTTCTCATTTTGTGCCGACAAGTAATGTGACACGAAGATGCATTTGATTGCACCAATCTTTTATATGCCCAAAAACTAAAAGAAATTTATTGGCAAAAGAAAGTGAAGGAAATTTAATGTCACAAAAGCTAAAAACATGACAACACTCTTTTATATGCTTTTCTCTAGCAATTTACAATTTTAAGAATATAAATTTTAGAATTAATTCAATCCTATAAAATTATTTTGTAAAATTAAGTTGTCTCTCATTTATATATATTATTTTGATTATATATATAGATAATGTATAATTTTTGCCAGATTTCCAATAGATCAAGGAGTAAATTTTTGTATAGATGTCACACATTCATTAATTGTCAAGAATATTCCATTAGAATAATCAAGGAGGAAACCTTGTTCATTTCTTGGAGACCCTTATACCAACTCAGTATTATACATGTGTAAGTTGAAAACTCAAACTAAATTATAACATAGCGACCATAATGTAAGTAATAGAAAAAAAAAATAAAAGGAGAATAATTCTCTATTTTGTGTTGTTAAGACAATTTTTCTTATGTCTCAAAAATGGTTAAATTTTTATAATTATTTTTCCTAGACCCAAGTTACCAAAAAAATTTAGGACTCCATTGTGACACATTTGACTTGGATGAGTCATGGGTGGAAAAAACGAAATTGTTTAAAGCAGGAAACAATTACTAATGCAATTTTTATTTTGTATTGAGAAAAATTTTGGTGTGTATTTGATAAAAACACAATTTTATTGGCCATGAGAAACAGTTCTGTTGTACTTGTAAACTACTTAAAAAGAAAAAAGAAAAAAAAGAACAATAATAAGAGTAATAACATCATTCCTTTTATTTGTTTTTAATTGTAATGTATCTCCGAGGGTAAGACACAAAACAGAGACAAACAAAGCAATGAATGAAACATTGATTCCACTCCCCCCACTCTCATAATGGTCACAAACTTCAATGGAATGAATGAAATACCAATTAACTTTCACCACTCATTTCATCGTACAAAAGGTTTGCGCCACTATCACATCAATAATTAGTCCTCTAAAGTATATCACATCTTCAATCCCGATTATTGATATTGATGTGAATTGAACAACAAACCCATTTGCAAAGCTTCCATGTTTTTCACACAGAAGTGAATTAACACTTCACAGAACAAGTAACAACTAACAACATCCAAAGGAAAATAAGATGAGCGTAATTGTTTGCGTTTTAATTCATACCATCCCTGGCACTATCTCGCATTAAAATGAGAACTCAAAGTACTCCAATTTTCATGATAATAATGCATTTCAATTTTTACAAATCAAGAGTCACTAGCTAGATGGGGAGTCCTAGCTAACAGAACATTTTTCCAATAAACTTCTTTTAATATATTCTATTATTAATTAAAGTTTACTGAAAACTAAAAAATTACAAGTGAAACACTTCATAATAAAGAAACCCACAAAATTTGTTGTGATTTCAATTAAATTCAACCAACAGTAAAATGTGCTAATGTGTTATTAGTCTTTTCCGACTCTGCAAGTTGCTAATGATAACTGAACAAATGGCCAAATTCGTGTTCAAATCAGAAATTGTCATTTAAAACCAACAAATTGAAATTTTAGCCTAGCGTAGGTTAAATCAGTATACCTGTCTATAGCATAATATTAATGGGGAAGAGGACATAAATCCAATTATACCTTAAGATGTGGAAAGAAACATCCACGTCAATTTAATTACATCCCATTTAACTAATGTTGTAATTAGTAAACATAAGTATATATATCGATCTTCACTGTTATTTATTACCTTGAGGAGTTTCTTGCACTCTTTGTACTCCTCTTGATGGACTCAATTCTCTGAAGCCTTATTTGCTCTCTAAACTTGGCGATGAATTCATCAGCCTTCTTATCCACATCTGGTCCTTCATCGCTCATAGTTCCAAAAGAAGCTTCATCTGTTTTTGAACTTTCTCCACCATTGAGAGGTGGACCTTTCCCATTGTCCTCGTTCTGAAGAATCACGATTCTTTCTCCTCCAACATCATCATCCTCGGTTTCTGTGTCTTCATCATCATCATCATCATCTACCTCTTCATCATCATTATCAGATTCCTCCACAAGTACCTTATTAAGAAAGCCTTTTTTCTCAACTGGCTCAGAAACAAGAGGCACGTTTGCATGTCCCATGAACTTGTGATCACTTTTAAACGACGTGCGTTGCATGGGTGGTTTTTCCTCATGAAATTTTTTATTTTCTCCTACTGACATAGTGAAGGTTCGCTTCAGCTCCTTATCAAAGGAAGGTGCTTCACCATACCTTGGCCTCATGGAAATTGATTTGTGAAACATCATTGGTGGGGGTGGTGGAGGTGGTGGTGGACAAGACTTGTAAAACCCCTTCTTCCTCACCAAATCCTCTGCGTTCTTTGCTAGTGATTCCGATGAAAAAGGAGCGAGGTTTGGTGATGGAGACAAAGAACGTGTTCTAGAAGAAGCACGTGACGAAGTTTGAGACTTCACAAGACGAGATTCCTCCTTTGAAGGAAGCACCATGTTAAATGCATCATCAGCTTCTTCTTGTTTAGGTTCCATTCTTCCTGATCGAGAACGCCATGGAATGGGAGAAGGAAGCACCGCCACGTTCTCTTTCTTTTTATCTTCAACTTCCGAATTCCTATTCAAACTTCTGCTTGAAAATCTTTTAGAGGTTGTGGACCTGCTCAGAGATTGAACATCAACATCTTCGGAACTGCTCGAAAATCTTTTAGAACTGGTTGACCTATGTAAAGACCGTACATCAACATCATTAGCTTCAACTTCTGCATTTGTATTGCTTGAAAATCTTTTGGAGCTGGTTGAGCTGTTGAGAGATTGAACATCAACAACATGATCATCATCCTCATCAGATAAACGAGACTTCAAGCTTCGAATAGGTAAAAGCAAAGGCTTCTCGGGGCTGTGGTGATCAAAATCAGTGTGGTCTAAGCGTGGAGCTACCACAAGCACGGGTTGGTTCCTATGGTGTTGGTTGTTCCACGTTTGGACTTTTGTTTCATCGGACTCAACTGGGCTTTCACTTTCAACGTCATCCTCGAAAAACGAAGAGACTTGAAGGAACCTTGAGACAAGAGATTGTGCAGTGTCGAACTTGTTGTTGTTGTTGTTGTCTTTGTCAGCGTCGTGGTTTCGACGGCTGAAGAGGCCGTAGGAGACGGCGACGCCGACGAAGAGAAGGTGGAGGAGTTCCCAGTTTCGGGTGAGGAGGGAGTGGTTGATGAATTGGGGAGCTTGTGAAGGGAAGGGCGGGAGAATAACGAAGAAGAAGAGGACAAGTGTGGCTTTGTAGATGAAGTGGTAGTAGAACTTGTTTGGGTCTTGTTGGTTTTGTTCAAGGGGTAGTTTTTGGTGTTTGGTAGCGGTTGCCATTGCAGAGAGAAGAAGAAGAAAAGTGGTGAGAAAATGTAGGTGAAGGTGTTAACTTTGTTGTGGAAGAGTGAGTCAAAGACAAAATGTGAAGCTTAGCCTTTGGTTCCCTTTATTCCCTTTTCCTTTCGCTTCTAACACGCCTTCTTGCCTTTATTCCCTTTGCCTTTTTTTATGCCCAACTAAATATTCCAAATTCTGGATCGTTCTCTCTACACTTCTTCGTAATGACCAGGCCCAGGCCCACCAATCGGCCCAACAATTTTTTCCAGAAACAAATGGATGTACGCACTCACGCACGCTTCTTAACGACTGAGGCCTTATTGTACCTTTAATAATTTCAAGCCCATATGACTGGCCCATCTCTTCTCCAGCATTTTTTTTTTTTTTATAATTAAGAAGTGTTACTCTTTCTTATGAAGCCTCATTTTAGAAATAAAGTGATATTTTCTATTATGAAATATTTAAAATGGAGATTGAATTCATAGTTTGATTTAAAGGACAAGTGTGGAACTATTTATGATTGTAGTTTTCAATTATGTGCTGGTATTCTTAATCTTATCCCACTAATAGCTAATAAGACTGTTTAAGTTTTTCATTATCTGTTTATCTGTTTTTCTATTCTAATAATTCTGTTAATTAGATTCTGTTAGGATTAGTTATTCCATTAGGTGTTTTTAGCTCTTGTATATATATAGCCTCTCCACTGATGTATACCATTATGATGAATATACAAAATATAATTTTCCTTTGTTCTCTCTTCCACGTGCTGTCATACTCCTTTATGGTATCAGAGCTCTCCCTGTGAGAGCTCTGCCACGTATTTCCGCATCCATGGCTGAAGAAGAAATAATCGAAGACCAACCAGGCAAAAACCAAAATGGAGGCACCAACAACATTACTGATCCATCCTCAAATCCTTACTATCTCCACCCAGGAGAGAATCCAGGTGCCATTATCACTACTCCAAGCCTCGATGGGACGAATTATCACACATGGTACAGAAACATGAAGAGGGCACTCCAATCAAAGAATAAATTCAAGTTTGTAGACGGAAGCATCAAGAACCCAGGAATTTCACACCATCTTTATGATTCTTGGGTCAGATGTAACACCACTGTTTTTGGGTGGATCACAAGAACCCTGTCACAAGAAATAGCTCAAAGTATAGTCTATTTTGAGAGTGCACAAGATTTATGGGAAGATCTCAAGGACAGATTCTCCAAGGGTGATTACTTTAGAATCTCTGACCTTCTTCAAGAAATTCATTCCATTAAACAAGGTGATAGATCTGTTTCCACATATCACACTGAATTGAAGACTCTGTGGGAGGAATTGGAAGTCCTCAGAGAAACACCTTCCTGCACATGCAACGTCAAATGCAGCTGCAAATTTGCCAGCACCGTAAAAAGGAATAAAGAAGTTGAGTATGTTATTTGCTTTCTCAAGGGTCTTAATGATCAATACAACACAGTGAGGAGTCAAATTTTGATGATGGAGCCTCTTCCTTCCATAAGTAAAGCTTTTTCTCATGCTCTCCAACAAGAAAGACAATTGAGCAATCCAATCATCCAAGAATCAAAAGTTCTTGCAGCCACCACTGATACCGCTAATAATTGGAAAGGGAATTTTGCTGGTAAAGGTGGAGGATTTGCTGGCAAAAATAGAAACAGATCCTTTGGTCGAAGTAATACACCCAATAAGGTTTGTAGCTTTTGCGGTAAGGAAAACCACACTGTAGATACTTGCTATTTTAAGCATGGCTTTCCACCAAATTTTAAGTTCAAAAATAAAAACGTGCAATCTGTTAATAATCTTAGTACAAGCAAGACACCTGAAATGCAGGAAAATGTGGGTTCAAATAGTAATTCCAAAGATTCTCTTGTTAGTATTAGCCAAGAACAGTTCAATATACTTCTTGATATGATCAAAAAAGGGAATTTTTATGCTCAACATGGAATCTTACATCAAACTTCTTGCATAGAAACTCCACAACAAAATTCTGTTGTGGAAAGAAAACATAGGCACATATTAAATGTTACTAGATCCCTCCTTTTTCATTCTAATTTACCTAAAGTTTTTTGGAGTTATGTTGTTAGCTATGCTGTACATCTTATTAACAGATTGCCCTCTCATGTTTTAAACAATTTCTCTCCCTTTCAAATGTTGTATGACCAGTCACCTACCCTATTGGATTTAAAGGTATTTGGTTGTCTTTGTTTTGCTGGTACATTGTCCCAAAATAGAAACAAACTTGATCCCAGAGCCTCCAAAGGTATTTTTCTAGGCATCAAGCATGGCACTAAAGGATATCTTGTGATGGATATATCCACCAGAAACATTTTTATATCCAGGAATGTTTTGTTTTATGAAGATGTTTTTCCTTTTCATGACAAAGTTAGTGCTCCAGATCTTGATCATGATATGATTAACACTAGCAATTTTGATTTCTCATTTACTGACATTCCTATTTCCACACATAATACCAACATTGATGTTATTTCTAATGATCATAATAACAACATAAACCATCATGATGAGTCTCAAGTTCCATTAGAGTGCAACTCACCTGATGCTGCCCCTTCCATTATCAGAAGATCAACTAGAACCAAATATCCACCCGCCTATCTCATCGACTATCATTGTAATTTGTTAACTGGTCATGACACTTCTATCTCTAAAGATGCCAGGTACCCACTTAGCACTGTTCTATCTTATAGCAATCTTTGTCCTGCACATTCACATTTTACTCTTACTATCTCCTCTCTAATTGAACCAAAGAACTATTCAGAAGCCATTAAATCTGAACATTGGATTAAGGCTATGCAAAGTGATCTAAAGATGCTAGGTACCCACTTAGCACTGTTCTATCTTATAGCAATCTTTCTCCTGCACATTCACATTTTACTCTTACTATCTCCTTTCTAATTGAACCAAAGAACTATTCAGAAGCCATTAAATCTGAACATTGGATTAAGGCTATGCAAAGTGAACTTGATGCTTTGCGCCTAAATGGGACCTGGTCATTAGTTAATTTGCCTACTGGTAAGGTACCTATTGGCTCTAAATGGGTCTATAAAATAAAATATAAATATGATGGCACTATTGAAAGATATAAAGCTCGTTTGGTGGCAAAAGGGTACAATCAAATTGAAAGATTAGATTATTTTGCTATGATGATGTGTTTGAGTTACTAGGCAATGCAAGGATAAAAATGATTTGTTATGATGTTCTGAGGTGTTGTCATGTGGATTGTAAGGTTGTTCAAGGTTGTATGATGCTATGTGGTAAAGTTAAGTTCATGCACATGTTATATGGTGTAAAATAGTGATAGATTCATATATATGATTGGGAAGGATATATATGAAGGTTTAAATAGGTATTCTAATATGATTTGATATGCATGTATGTGAATATGAGGATAGATGACCTTATGGATTAATTAGTGAATGGTTGTGTGTTTAGTGAGATTGACCTTAAGATGTGATATCATCATATTAGAGTTAATTCTAAAGATATATCCAAGATAGATTTAGGCTAAATTATCTAAGTATGATTTTTGATTGTATGAGGTGAGTGTTCTAGGCCTTGTAATTTCTTGCGCTAAATATGTTAAAATATCACATATATTTATATACATAATTTATTATAAATTTTAATTATATATAATAAATATTTAGATTGTGTATTGAACATAATAAAAATACTAGTATTTAAAAAATAAGTTATTCAGAAATAATAATTATTTCTTTTACCATAATATAATTTGTATGCCTGATGATTACTTTTAGTATTTATAATATTAGTAGCATAACCTAGTAATATATAAAATTTAAAATACTAACATTAAAAACAATAAATAAAATTTAAATATATTAACGTCTTAGTTAACCCGCAAAATATGAGTAACACTTTGAGAGTCAAATACACTCTAGTTAAATATGACAACTAAATTCGAACCCGCAAGTATTTTTTCAACCTTAACTTGATTTTGATGGAAAAAATTCACTTTTATCATGTACGAATTTTCTTCGACTTTAAAAATCTAAATTCCAAGTCCTAAACACACATATATAATACAATATACAATACACACATAAAAATATAAGATATAAATTAATTATTTTAATAATTAAATAATTTGAAATTATTGTAATAATTAAGTAACAAACTTCAAATTATACATTTAATTAAATTTTATACTTCAGGAATTATTTAAATAGTTTTTTATCACTTTAGAGACTATTTAAAAGAAAAAGTAATATTTTCAATAACGGTTTATTCTTTTCTAAATCTATTCAATTGAGAAATTGGGCAAAATTCTTCTCTTGGAAATTCCATCTAATATAATAGAAATTGTTGATAGCAAAACACTTTAAAGCTTATGCATAATCTATAACAAATAGGTCAGACCAAGAATTAGCTTACGTCAACACCCTCTTAACCAATTACAGTAGAAACTCTTTAAATTAATAATGTCAGGACTGGAGAAATTTATTAATTTAGAGAGTTATTAATTTATTGATAAATTAATAATTATTAATTTAAAGAGGATGACAACGAAGATGATACAACGAAGATGATACAGTGTCTTTAGAGTCTGTTACGCGAAAGGAAGCACTTAAGGCGTCGAACACTTTTCACAACTTTATGATACAATACAAAAATACAACACCTGAGCTATTGGATGCAATAAGAAAAGTTAGAGATGAGCTCCAAATAACTTGAACTTTAAAGAAAAACAGATAACTATTGAATCATATTTCAATAGAGTGTAATATATTTTTTTTCAGTTTCTATGAATTATTAATTTATGATTTTCTTGGGACCGAAAATTATAAAAGGATCTCCCGAAAAATTATTATCTTATTATTTTATCGAGTTTTTCAATTTTTTACATTGGCCCAAGTCGAGACCGGACAAATTTATTATTTTAGAGAGTTTATTAATTTACCGAGTATTAATTTAAAAGAGTTTCTACTGTATTTTTATTAATAATTGTTAATTTATTTATATATACTTGATTGGTACGTGAGATTGTGATGAGTAGACTGTATACCTAAATTACGAAACACTAATTTGTATTCGACAATTGGGATATAATTTGTCCA